TGGATTTTGCTTTTGCTTTGTTTTGTTTCCTGGGTTATATACTGAAGAATAAGAGGAGAAAATAAAGGTTTCCACTTACTTTTTTTTTACTGCCAACTGGTTGCCTCTAAGTGCATTACGTGCCAAAAAAAAAAAAAATTGACATAATCACCAATGGACTTTTAAGATATCAAACTTATGTAAGATTATTACTCTGCAATGCTTCATGTACAAACCAACGTAACCAATTATCACTATTGTCTGGGACCCACACTGAAGAGGTTGTCAGTTTCCTCATCATACATAAACAGCTTTGATATACCATTGATGTATTTAATAGCATATTATTTTTATGATTAAAAGAGAATAATTCTGGATTGAAGTGTAAAAATATCTCAGAACATACTGTAAGCATTGATACACTACATAAATGCGTTAAGAAAAATGGCATATCTACTTATATATTCAAATATTCAAGTATTGCAATATCACTAAGGAGTAAATTCTATCCAAAGAAATGGAAAGAAAAGAGCTATCTATCTAGAATGATTTGCATCAGCTATGACAGAACAAAAAAACTTCTTCCCATTTTCTTGAACTTTGAGGAAATCACTCACAATGATTTATGGCTCAAAATCATGGCTCTCTCTCAAAATTTATCTCTGGAGTGCTATTAAGACATAAATAAAAGTTGCCTAGTATTTTTTAAAAAGTAAACAAAGTTTTCCTTATACTACAATTCTGTTTTTTCTTGGTCATGTTCCAAACCATGGTAGGTTGTATCTTTTTCTTTCATGTGCTGCTTTTGGGGTCATTTTTTCATTTATTTTTCAGCTTGATTCAAGTTATTAAGTTTTATAAGATGCAGTCTCGGCAACTCTTCTCTCACTGTGGGTAAAAACACAGAAAGTAAAATTCTTCAATGATAATTTGCACTTTCTGTGAACACTTCAATAAAAGTATAATATGACTAGTAAGTTATTTTCAGGAGGAATATATTTATGACTTTGAAGTCAATTACTTTTAATTACATAGTCAACTTTAGTCAACTGTAACTACCCAGTACTGAGTCAAACATCCATTATGTGACTAGTTTGCTAGTATTGATTTGGGCTTGAGATATATTCTTACTCATGCTATTACATCTCTCCTTTATGTGATTAATGGCTATGTTTACTTTCCGTAGCTTCCTGCTTCCATTAATCCTATTTTATTTCTCAACTCTCTGGGTTCAAAAGACATAGGTTTTTCTGTAGGAGAATTAACTCTCACCAGTCCCCAAGTAAGACTTATTGAAATATATCCAAAAGGGATCTTACTGCTGGAAATCAAGACAGATCCACTACTACATGAAAATCTTGCAGGAAACTATGCAAGGTCAGTAGTTCACTCTGAGGTTTATCTTTAAGAATGGAATTGTGGTACTTCCCTAAAAAGGTGTTTACGTAGATTTAAAAAAAAAAAAAGCATGCTACTTAGAATCCACTAAAAGATCTCTAGGATTTTAAAATATGCAGTTTTCAAAGGAATGAGAAAAACAACATAACAGCAGAAGCATTTCATAGTACATTGTAATCTTTCCTTCAGCCCAAGATTACTAAAAAGACTACATATATAACAAGATTTCAGAGAATGTAGTTCTCTGAAAAGTTCTTCTTTTACATAAATATGCAAAACAAGTGTCTGCAAACAAAGAGAAGTAAAAATGAACAGTAACAGCAGATTTACAGAGCTAACAAGCAATAAAGCCTTCTTGTTAGCATAAGTACACTTCCAACTCAACATGTGTTTTTTGCTTTCCTTTTTAAAAATGAAGGTAAGAATGCATTCTGACCTTGGTGAATAAACTATCAAATTTTAACACTAGAAAATTGCAGTAGATGCAATAAGATTTCATGTTTTCCTTTTATACATCCAAACAACTTTGCTTCTTTTGTATTCAGTAAGTTAGTTTTTGCTGATTAAGTTTTTCATGATACAGGATTTAATAATCAAATAAAGCAAAATATTTCAAATCTTAAAGTTATGTCTCTTAAATTCTGGGTGGTTTTGGATACCAATGAAGAAGTGTAATGTGCAAGGAGAAGCTGCTAAGTCCATTTGTATTTTATTATCCGGCTGGGAGGACAGCATTCATTTGTTGACAGAAATATAGTACTTTGTATATGTATCATAGCATTTTATTTGATGTGTTCAGTGATGGACAATATGTTAATATTTCTTCATTTTAGAATCTTTTACTAGGAAAATATTCAAAGTTTAAAAGAAAAGTAGCACAGCCTCTATTTGTCCTTTTCTTACATTCATTTTCTTATTTTCAAATGTTAATAACTTTAAGAATTATTTTATTCAATCTCAGCATAAGCTTATTTATTGCCATTTTCTAATTACAATCAATTGGCTTCTGAAGTGGCTTTGCCTGTTCATGATAAAAGCAAGCAACTGAATTACATCTTCACTAGAGAACGGTTATTTTTGTTGAACACCATGACAATATCTCTTTAAATAATCACTGATTTTTAGATCTTTTTTGTCAAGTTAGACAAATTATTAATGTGTTTTTGATTTCGGTTGAACAACATTCCTTACCTTCTCCTTGGAGTCATACAATAAATGTTCTGTTCTAGTAGAGGGCATCAAAGAATCTCTGCAGTGCCTGAGAAATTGTTGCTTAGTGGTATATTTTTAATTTAGTATTTGAGGATTTTTCCCATTAAATTGAGGAAAATAGGTTCACGTTACCCTTAGATGAAACTTTAATGTGATAAGATTTATGCACAAATTCATTGAGGCAACAGGAGTTAGAAAATAGAGGTAGATATTGTGGAAAAAAAAAATATTAAATTTTTAATTTTTTAATTAAAATTTTTTTTTTAATTTTTTTTTTAATTTTATTTAATAAAGTTAATTAAACTCCGATATCTCTGTCCCTCCTGGAGACGAAACTCAGGATTGTTCAAATGCGCTTAAAACATATTCCAATGTTCACTTGATGGAGCAGAATAAGAACACATCCTTTTGAAATATATGTCGAAAAGTGTTTGCAAAATACTCTAAAGGGAAGCTGATACATCTGTCAGAAAAGAAGCATTTTATTTAGGAAGGAGGATGTATAAGACAACATAAGCCTTATTTCTATATCCACTACTAGATGACCACTAAAACTTGTTAATCATTCTTTCCTATCTCTCTAATCTTTTAAATGTTTTTGCACCAATATGAAATAATAAAAACATTTGTTGCTTTAACTAAGATGTAACAGAATTTACCAGCTGTGAAAGTTATCTGTAGATCTTTCTGTATTTATTATTTGTTTGTTAAACTAATTGACATGCAATGTACACAGTATCATCTGTTTAAGAGAATAACAATATGATTCTATTTATTAATTTATTTTATTTTTTCTAGAAGCATTCCGCTATTTTAGACACCAATCATTCCCTCTGAGAGATTGAGGGTGGCTCAACGGTTTGAAAACAGATCTAGAATAAATTTTCCTGATAATTTTTTCAAATTTTATCCTTACTGACTTTGAGCCAGTCCCTCCTTCTGCACAAATATGTGTCTTCTCTCTCACCAGGGGAATGTGAAGGTGAATGGATGGGAATATCATTACAGAGCAAATATCATAGATGTATATTTAAGATCAGGAGATATTCTAGTGTTATGACAAAAAGGTCATAAATCAACATTCTCTGACATTCATAACTGTAGGGAAGGCAATTATGTGTTATTATTTCTTGGGTTTCTTTCAAGTGACTGATTTACAGGTATGCTTCTTCACAGAGACCTCTGAAGTTCTCTGTGTAAGTAGTTGCTGAAATAAGTATGTTATGCAGTTAACAGATGCTGATTTAGCTGAATTTGCACAGGGAACAGGGAGAAATTATAAAAAAACTAAAGTGATTTGTCAGATTATTGCACTCTTACAATAAAACTTAAGCACCACTATTAAAAAGAAAGCACTTGAAAGTAAAATATGGTCAATAAAGTGATTACAAAGAATCATGTGGGATACCAAGCGTTTCTTCATGAGAAAGAAAACATACTGCATCATTATTCTGAAATACACATTCTAGAATAGGTCCAGTGATCTATTTATTGCAACCATGAGCACTGGAATAGCCAGGTATATCACGCCAACTGTGTATTATAATACAGTGAAGTGAAGGACAAACATGTACTAAAGGTTTATGCAGAATGCAAGTCAGATCAGCAGAAAGTAGCTCCTAGCTATTTAACTAGCTGTTGATTTCCATCAATATCCTTATTAGTCAGGCAAGCTGTTACTACGATGATGTTCTCCAGTATCAATTAAGCATTATTTGTTTTTCTTTCATGTTTACAGACACAGAGGGAAGGATAAAATCTTAGTTTCCTCAGTAACTCATGGAATTGTTTGACTTGGCTTTAGCCATAGATAGTACTGTAGGCTTAAAGAAATTTTACTAAATTGCTGAAACCCTAGAGTTTTATCTCTAAAAGACCGTTATTTCCAATGGCTTGTCAGAGACAACAAAAACTGTTTGTCTGTAGAAGTTAGATAAAAACTTTCATCAATAAATTGTTTTCTGACATTAGTATATTTTCAGGTGTTTCAGTGCAACCATAGTAGTATATTTGGCTATTACATCATTTAAAAATCAATAATTATGCACATTTAACTGCTATGGCCCACACTAACATTTTCATTACGTTCATTACATTCGTTATGTTACACAGTGGGATGTCATGAAGTTGCTCTAACTCCAGCAGCTCACAAATTCCTAGGCAAAACATGATTCTTATGTAATTGTTAACCTTTCATGTTTTTCATTCACAAATTTTATAAATCCTTAGACACTTAAATCTAATCAAAATTTAAATGAGACACACTGTATTCACACCAATTTCCACAGCAAAGATACTAACTATGGAAGTAATAATTCTTTTTTTCTATGGTCCTACACAAATTCAATAAAAAAAAAAAAAAAAAGAAAAAAAGAAAAAGCAACTACAAAAACAATGAAGCAGATTTAGAAGGAGTTTGCAGTAAATTAGTAGGGAGAGAAATGTTAGATTTAACTACAACATGTTACTCTGGCAGAACTAGTGAAACTGAGAAAAAGTTATTTCCCATTGCTGTATGAAAAAAAAAAAATAAAAGAAAGGGACAAGGCAAAAAGCACTGACTTCCATTCCAGACTCACTGTCTTCACAGAACCAGCTATGAAACTCCCTCCTTTGCCATGTAAATTGTACTTTTTTTTCCCCAAAAATTAAATTATGGGCTACATCAGTTAGAATCCATCTTTTGCTTTAGAAGATGGCAATTAAGACAAAGGAGAAGGAAGAACAAACTGCAAAATATTCTAAGCTGGTGAACAATGACACATTTCTATGGTCCTTACTGAAAATGTCAAATACATAGAAAAAGTGCATGTAGTGTTTCAATGTATGCTGCATGGACTTCCACTATTTAATTTTCTCATAAGTCTTATGAAGTCTTTCAGTATTTTGCCCCTTTATTTCCTGTTAGCCTTGTTGTAGCAGGTAATGTCTCGTGTCTTCATTCGCTGTCTTGGTGGAATCTCCAACAACATACAAGGAACTTTGCCTGGTCCCAGATTCTGAGCTCATTTTCTTCTGTCTCTTTAATCTGAAATGAAATTGTTTTTTTTTTTTAAAAAAAGTGATGAGAGCACTAGGTGGAAAAGCCATTTCAACTTTAAAACAATTGCAGATCAAATCTCTTCTAAGAAAACATTTCTGGGGGAAACCTGTAGAATTTAGATGAGATGCAGTCTTACAGTATTGTTAACTTTTAGTATGGCCTGGATATTTTTCTATTGATTCTTCAATTGAAAAAAAAAAAAAGAAGTTTTTAGAGCAATTACTTGAATTGTCTTTCACAGGGAGAAGCAGGCTACACTTGCTTGCTTCCCTTCTGATGATTCAAGCCATTATTTATTGATTGACAGTTCTGAACTGCAATATTATTGATATTCAGTATACATTTACTGCAGTCACATCTGACTCCTGAGTTGCTGGTGTTTTTTTTCTTTTCTTTTCTTTTTGCTCTTGTGTGTGTGTGTTCTATTGGAAGAAAGGAATGTTGGGAACAGTGCAAAAGATCAAAGATATTTTCAACCTCTCATTTCTAGCCACCAGTTCATTGCAAAGGCCTCACATTACACTAATAACAGAGGGGAGAGTTTATTTACAAAAACATGACCATTATAAAATTCATCATTAAAATATGGCTATACTAAAAATATATCAGTTTTTATAAATCTTCTTTTGATAGACCACATTCTCAATAACAACTTGTATCAGAACAAGAATATTCATTCAAGTTGGGCACCAAAAACATCTGTCAAAACTCAGAGCACAGTATTCAATAGTTCTGCACAGAACAACAGATTTATCAAGACTTACAAGCTCAAGCATTATCCAGTGTAGCTACACTACAAGCCAATTCAAGAAGATTGCAAGTAAGAGCAAATAAATTCTAGCAGACCTAAATTGTTTCTTTTTGTTACTACATAGGTCACTCAACATGGTCACTCACATAGGCCAACTCAACATGGCTTGTTTTAACTTTGCTGCTGCCACTGCTGAAGTACCCACTGCCTCACTGTGCTCACAGTCCCTTTTCGGTCTCCATAAATGTTCATCAAGCATCAATGAATGTCAATGGGTGACATTTTTCCACATGGAGGAATTCAATTACACATTTTCCTCTGTACGCAATTCCATGTTTGACACCAATTTGTCAGACTACTCCTCTGCTGCCATCTGTCAATGCAACAAAATGTAAGGGAGTACTGGCTGGAAGGTTCAACCTCTACTGCCATAACACCAACACATACCTCTGATGTCACAAGCCAACAGGATAAAATAGAAGACACTACTTTCAGAGTTTCACTTGTAATTTTTATCTCATCTGTAATTAATCGAAAATTTCCTGTGTTTTAAATTTAAAGGTATACATCTCAGATTCTGTCCATATAAATCTCTGCACTTCCACTGAAATTCTATCACAAATTTCAGTGCAATTCCTATGGTTTTTTTTTTTTGTGTGTGTGTTTTTCTTACGTAACTTGATCAGGCTTTCAGAAAAGGAAATTCACAACCCTTGTGATTGTTCTTTATTCTAGGAATTTCTCTCAGTCCCTGTCAGTGAGAAAGGGTCAGTCATGCTACTACACATAAACATCTAACAATACGTCATTTGCTTAGAAAACATGTTAGGTAATTATTTAAAAGAAAAACAAAACAGCATCACGTCTAAAAATTAATCTGTGTTAGGCAAGCTTAGTATAAAGCTTGTACAAATGCTTGTACTAATGTATTAAAAAAATCAGAGCTATTTTTGCAATGTGATTATGTACAATGGCACTGTAAACATGATGCTACTGTCTACTGATGAACTTGTCACTGATCTTTACAGATACAGTCTAATTGATAAGCAGTACATCAGTAAGAGTCAACAGCTGGTCAATAATTCTTCACCCTGCTGGATACACAAGACTAGGCTGATCAGAAATTTAGCTGTCCTGAGTGAGTTTCACAGGATTTTTAAAAACAATTTCTTTGAAGAAGTATTCCTTTCAATTACTTCAATTTCATAATGTCCAATAATAACTTTATTAAAAATTCTAGATAAAGTGTTATTAATTACTCCTTATTATTAAAAGTACCTGTGAATATATTAGTGCAATTTCATTATTTTTCCCTAATTTTCTATTCATTTTGCTAATCTACAATATTTTAATATAATCTATCATCACTAAAGCTAGCAACTGAAAGAGTTTTAAATTAAAGAAACTAAATATATCTAAAATATATTAACCATAGTGAATAAGTATTGGCTTACATTGTTCCCCTAGGAACACATACTACATTTTTAAGGAAAATCATGTTACTTATTTGTAAGTATTTCTTCCTTAAATTAGAAACACTTAGTCTGGTGCTTCTGCATGTACTATTTATCTACCATCTGTAAAACAGAAAGAGAGTTTCATTCTAACTTCTATTTCCTAATAAAATTGATACAGCAGAGCTACTAATCAAGACAGTCCATGAGTACATAGATTGGTATTTCTGAATGTTATGCAAAAGAAGACATTCTTGCCAGAACTCACTAGCAATTAGATAATTTTATTTAAAACAAGTCCCAATCTGTAGTGAAGCACAACATTAGAATGTCTATTGACAAGCTAACATATAAGAAATTCCAGTCATTTACAGATGGGTTTTAAGCAGTTCTCAAGCCTAAGCACACTTGACAAGACATAAGTGGAGCATATGTCAGAAGGATTTGACTCAGTTATTCTACTCTGTTTACATAACATAATTCCTCCAAGCAGTTATCTGCTATTGTATCTTCAATACTTGTATTATTTGCATTATATGTGACAGTAGTAATGAAAAGCCTAAGGATTCTGTGTAACTATGTGCTCCGAAACATGGTCTACTCCTGTAGAGAGATGCTGCAATGAGGTCAAGACAGTAGCAACACAATTATCAAAGCACAAACTTGTATTTCTATTACTGTTATTTCCAGTATACTAAATTCTAGAGCTTATACGTAAGTAGGCAATAATAATAATAATAATAATAATAATAATAATAATAATAAATATGTTTAAGAAGAATTAATTCTACCAGATTTTACACCACAATAACAATAAATGGTTAGAGCTTTAAATTTTCCTACCTTAACATTAAAAACATAAGTATACTAAGGATATGAATGTATCAGGGGTCACCTAAGGCAGGTCTGCACTACTTAACTTCTCATAGAAAAGCACAGGCACAAAATCGGTATGGAAAGCTATCCATGCTAACAGGCTAATGCAAGAAGCCTCCTAAAACCAGGGTGAAATGTTCTCTTCATATACCTATCACAATTACTAGGATGTCTGGAGTTTTCTCATTCAATTTTTCTAATCACAGAGAGATTCAAGGCTTGTGAACTGTGAGTTCTTGTACATCTGCCTTCTGTTACATTTTTAAAGGTGTCACAGTATTGGAATTGTGAACATTGTCATATTTCCTGACAGTTATTTGTATCACCTACATGTACGGTTAAAAAATAGAAAGACCTAACACTGTACTGCAATATTTTACTCAAAGAATCCCAGAGTCGTACAAAAACATTGGAAGGAAACAGTGAATGAGGAGGAGGGAGGATTGTTACTATATTCAAGAACAACTCATTATTCTGTGTATAAATTTAGCATTTAAAAGAAAAATACTTCTGCACAACAACATATATTTCTAGAATATTACATTTTTATTAAATGACTGATACCTTGTGAATTTAGTAAAGTTTCTGTCTGGGGTATGATTATGAGAGCTGTTCAATTTACATGTGGTTTATGGGTAGAAGATGCACCATAAATGTCAGAGACTTTCCCAGTTTATATTTGTTTCTTGTTTTAATTTCCTATCTATTTTCAACAGAATCAAACCGAGCTGTGTTGTGTGAATAAAGCTGAGAAGCTAACAGTTCAGCAGCAGGTTGGTAGCTGATGGCATACTTTGATATCAAAATTACTTTAAATGGGGAAAAAACACCACAAACAAGAGGACAACAGAGATAAAGGATAAAGGAAAACCTGTCCTTAGAGAAAGAAAGGAGGAGGAAATGTTACTTTGCAGCTCATCCAAACATTGACTGCAGACATAGTAGAATTTACATTGCACGTGAAGGATACGTTTTCAGAAACATCATTAAGAGTGAGTAAGAGAAATCCTAATGATATTTTATACAAATATTTATTCAATTAATATTTCTAATTAGCAGAAAAGTTTCTGTAAATATTTTTTATCTTACTTAGCTATTATTCACAACTCTCTGTCTAAACAGAGCAAAGTATTCAATCTTGCAGGTGGTTTGCTGCAGACTTGGATAAATCCAATTAAAACATGCAAAAAAACCCAAACAACAACTTAGAAGTCAGACTGGATTAAAAAAAATGAAATCAACATTTTTTATTAAGAAAAATATGGAAATCTTTCCCATTGGTAGCCTGTACCAGCTGGCCTTGACAACCTGGCACCCCAGAAAGGATGGAGCAAGAAGTTAATCTCTTGCATTTCTCATTCACATGGTGTAAACAGAGCCAAGTGAAGTAGAAACCACTTCTGCTCCAGTGTGCTGGTGCTCCCTGAGGCAGGCAGGAAGCATCTGACTGCACTTGGGCCCATGCAAAGCATGGTCAGCTCTGCAGTTGTGTGAGCAGTTTATAAGGCCAGAGGAGAGTGAGTCAAAAGACCTTTGTACATGGAAAGACTACAGATCTGTGTTCAAAATTATTGCCTAAGAGGGATTAAAATTGTGGAAAAGCTGAACAATAAGATGAATATGCAACTGTGGTAGTAAAAAAAAGGGTCAAAATAAAATGTATGTCTTCTGAGATAAAGCAGCAGAAAACAGCAGAAGAATACAAGGTGCTATCAAAGTCAGCTAAATGCTCTGGCTTATAAAACAGGCTGCATACCATATGTCCACCAATATCCACTACAACAGGAACATTAAGAAAGCTATTAAGATAGTGGCCCCATTGTGCTCAGGTATGCAATAGCATATGGCATATTTCCTGCTTCACTGTGCATTTTCTTCCTCTTGTTGTTCAGCATCACTAATTT